TTGCAGGCAGCGTTCCAATTTGGGACAGTTCGACTCCTTACCAGTTCGAACTTGTAACAGTTCGATTCTGTCCGCGTTCTGTTCTGGTACGTGTGCGAAAAAAGGACTGTTCTGAATTGAATCTGTTCGATTTTAGGTCTGTTCGATTTTGAAAACGTTCGAATTCGTCGTACCCCCGTCTGCTCATGTTTCTTTGTATCATCCTTTCAATTCTAGCCGCAGCTGTCTCCAGAAGACAAGTCACATTTTTATCTTCAGCTCCTACGACAACGTCTTTCGTATTCTTCTGAATCTTCACGTCGTCAGAGGTAAATGTCTTCAGAATTTCATGAATTAAATGAACTTTCGCAGATCTCTCATCCCAAAAGTCGATTTCAATTGAGTTTTCGAGACGTTTCCAATTCTCTACAATCCACATGGCAAAACGAAGAGCGCTAGTGACAGTTTGAAGGAGGTCATCATTGTGATGATTGCTTTCTGGGACCTGCAAAGAAGAGTTTATGAGAAACCTCATCTCATCAATCAACCCACCAAAGTCACAAATTCATCAAACAGTTTAGGATTTCCAATCGAAAATCTGAACGAATCCAAAATTTGAGAAATCGCAATTCTAGAGTACAAATTCTCCAAAACATTAAGGGTTTCCGTGGAAAGCTCCCATTTGACAGAAGATGCTGAAAATCAGAATAGAAGGTGAAATAGGGAATTTTCTAAGTCAGCACTGCTTACTTTTCATAAAATTGTTCACAACCATTCCGGCGATTTCCATAGCATAGTCAACTCGATTATTCTGTAGTTCCGGAAACAAATAACGTCTTCTGATGTCGTCTGGAATCCACGTGGTAATGGATTTGGCATCTCGAGGTTCAGAAGAGCATATCCAGCGGACGATCAAGAAATGAATTTGAGAATTGAGATGCGCGAGAACTTGTGGAGAATCCAAATTCTGTTTGTAAGTCTCCAAAATGTTTTCTACAAGTTTTTTAGCGATTTCCGAATCGATTGGTTGCGACAGAAAACGAGTGAATTCGTCCTGTGGACCGTTTTTCCTGAAAATCGATTTTTTAAAATGTTTCTAAATATCGGTGAGTCCGGATGTCGTTGCAATCAATCCGGAATCTTCATGTAACTATGTGCCTGTCTGCTTGACTTTTTACTTACATCAAATCTGCCAATTTCGGACTCTCCCGATTCGAATATTTCGATCACATTATCCTATTTAGGTTGGCGGGAAAGTCTTTGTCACTTTTTCAATAGTTTATTTCTCAAAGAAAAAATAACCGAATAATTAATTATATTGTCCATCATTATCAACAACATGTCTCCAACGTTCCCTCAATTTATGGATTCCATTGCGGTAGAATCCAGCCGGGCGTGAGGCAAAGTATTGTTTGAGTGCCGCTTCGACCGCTCCACGGGAATTGAAGCTTCTTCCTTCGAAGGCACGTGTCATATCGCCAAATAACCAATAGTCGGAAGGAGCAAGATCAGGAGAATACGGGGGGTGAGGGAGAACATTCCATCCATATCCCATCAGCTCCTGCTTCACTTGTTTCGAAACATGTGGGCGAGCGTTATCATGTTGATAGTACACTTTCTTGTCTTTCAGGGCCGAACGGTCGACTGCTTTCTTGAGGTTTCGTAGTTGAGTAGTGTAGAGGTCTCCAGTTATTGTTTTGCCCTCGGGCAGAAGTTCCCAGTAGATGGGGCCGTCGACTCCCCACCACACAGAGAGCATAACTTTTTTCGGATGAAGGTCGGGTTTGGGGACATCCTGTGGGCTCTCTCCTTCTCCAACCCACTGGGATTTCCTGTGGTGATTATCGTAGAAGACCCACTTCTCATCTCCGGTTATTAGCCGGTCCAGCCATCGATCGCCCGCGTGGAGAGTGAGAAGAGTAATCGAATCGTCGACTCGGCGGTCAAGGTTGGCTTGAGTCAGGTGATGACGTATGAATCGACCAAAAAGTTTTCTCATTCCAAGAGACTTCAAACCTTCAAGGACTGTGCTATGGTGAACTCCGAATGTGACAGCTAGTTCACGGCTAGATTGAAATGGATCCGATTGCAATGCGTGCTTCAGCTTGTCCAAATCCAACTCACGGGGTCTCCCAGAGCGATCCTTTTCATCGAGCGAGAAGTCATCTTTTTCGAAACGATGGAACCAATTGCGAATAGTATTGTAGTGAGGGGCATGTGTGTTGTACACATTCTTCAAGAAAGTTTCCGAATCCTTCATCGTGGTGTGAGATAGGAAGAGGTAAATCAAAACATGTCTGATGTGAATAGCAGTGGGAACAAACATATCGTTTCAATTACAGATGAGGAGCAGGGAAGGAGATGGGGACTTTTTTATATGGAAGGTTCTTATCACCTTGTTATTCACTAAAGTCGATATCATACACAGCCTCCATATACGAGAACAGTGATTAAACAAACAGAGTGACAAAGACTTTCCCGCCAACCTAATATAATCATCTCAATTTCTTCGCTGGCTTCCTCGGATTCCAAACTCAACAGCTTCGAAAAGACAAATGCGTCGAAATCCAAATCAATCGTACAAAGCTCACAAATCTCTGTGAATTTTCGATTTTTATCATCATTTCCAGTCATCATAAGCTTAGTGAAAATCGTAAAAATTTTGCCAGTCTCTTTCTGTAGTCTCGATTTCTGATGAATTTCATTCAATTGTGAATCTTCTGAGACCTCTGTGGAAAAGTCATGAGCTCAGGTAAACGATTCTGAATTAGATCTGACTTCATTCTGAATTAGATCATGCCACTTCTATTTACGAACGAACCCAGATCTAATTCCGAATGAAGTCAGGTCTAATTCAGAATCGTTTACCTGAGAGAATGTTTCAGCAGTTTCAAACGTTCTTCGAGTCTTTTGAAATGAGATAGCTGAAAAATTGGGGGTTTTTTTTAAACTTTGAAACAATTAAAATACAAAATCGCCTCCCAACGCCAAACAGACGTCTATCCCGGTCAAAATTGTCTCCGGATTCGCATTGTCTGGAAATATTATATCCAGAATTTCCGATTCTTCTGGAAGTTTTTCGCATGATCCGAAAATGTATGCAGCAACTGCATTGGCCTGAAAACTTCTTTTATTTTCAAATAAAAAAATTTTAATAACCTTGTCTGGTGTCGACACGATGATGTTTTCGTTTCTCTCTGCATAGAGAGCTAGATTTGGGAAAAAATACCGCCGAATTCGACTATTTCCCGTTTTCTGACCATTTTTTAGGGTTCTATCACTGAAAAATGAGTTTTAAGATAGAAAAATGATAGAAGTTGGCTGAAATTCGAACAAAAAACAAAGCATGGCAGTAAAAATCCGAGAAAGCCGAGAGAAAATCAAGAAAGTTCTGAGCAATTTCGCGTTTTCGAGACAGATCACCGAGTGTTCGCTACAAGAAGCACGACCTTTTCGGTGTTATGTTCCTTCAAAGTACGGTAGTTTTTTTTTCGGTGATTTCAAAAAAAGGTTGCATTTTCAGATTTTTTTATTGTCGTAATTATCAGTCTAGTACCAAAAAAACAAAGCTAAAAATCAACAAATTAAATAAAATTAAATCTTTTTTGAGACCAACAAAAAAATGTCGTCATGAGTGATGAACTTGTATCCCTTCTCAGCAGTGGTAGCCATTCCATTTGCCTAGAAGAAATATTTAATAAAATAGTTAAATAAAGAAACTACAAGACCTACCTTCAAACTTTCTAAAATGTGAGCTTGTTTCAATCGGTGACATCGAAATGTTTTTCCGCCAAAGTTATAAGTTGTAGCATCCAAAACTCCTCCTTGGATTAAAAATCCTCCATCCTCAATGAGCGAACAGGCGCTACGAACCGCCCGAAAATAACCATCGAGGGTCTCACAAGAGTATTCTAAACAGAAAACAGTAGAAACCACTTCGAATTTTCCCGGAATATTCTCAGTCGTTTGGTTAGATTTCCAGACAACTGATTGCACAACTGGAGACTCGTGAACATTGACCTGATTATTTAGTAATTAGTTTTCTGCATGATCGTCTAGAATAATAAGCATACTTGCAACGGGCCGGGCCGGGCCGGGCTTTTTTCAGAATTTTCAGGGCCGGTCCGTCTCTGCCCGGATTTTCGGAAAAAAAAACTTTCTTCAATTTTTTTGGGGTCAACAGAAGAAAATGGACGATTTTTCTGACAAGAAAACAATTTTTCAAGATAAGAGTGTCCATAAAAATAGTTATTTCACAAAAAAAATTTGAAAAAAATTTCTGAAATTTCAAAATTTTTTTCAAATTTGAAGAACCCGGGCCCGCCGGGCCGGGCCCTGATTTTGCAAGAATAATAATAAGTAGCCTTGGCTACCTAAAATTATCATTGTGACCTGGAAATTCAAACTCACATCTAGTACTGCACGCATTAGACTTCTTGTCTTCTCTTGCATTTGTTTTCCAGTTTTCATGGATGCCTCGATATTGGAAATCCAGCTGCAAACATTGTCCCAATCAAATGTTGATCTGTAAATAGAGATCGTAATGGTGTGAAATAGCTAAAAAGTTTCCTTTTCCTGAGCAATTTTTTTCATAAAAAACTTTAAAAATATTGGAAAGTTTCAAAACTGACCTATTTTCAATCCAGCTAACAAGTGCATCTCTATTAGCAGGTGCATAATCAGATGTATAAATGTTTTCAGCTCTTTCTCTCAATGCAATCGGAAGGTATACTGTAGGCCCAGCTCCCAAATCGAGTACTGTACGCACTTTTTGAGGAAGACGGTACAGTATACCAGGGAGAAAAAACAAGACGATTTGCATGGCAGTGTCCTCTGAGGCAGTTTTGTAGAAACTGTTCAAGTAGGCAGTTGGGTTGAACTATAAATATTGGATTAGAGAGTCCAGCAATTTAAAATAGTGATTTCTGTACATTTCAAGTTTTTGAGAAACAAGGAATGTAGCTTCATTGAAAAACAAAAAAAAATATCTTCTTGAGAGAAACCATTCAGCATGAAAAATGCAATTATTCGAAACAGAAGAAGCGTATGTTTTTCTAACTTCTTTACCTTATCTCTGTGCTCCGTAGCCGCACATTCCTCATCTTTAGAATTCCCTTCTTCTTCGTCTGCTGTTCCGGTATCCACATCGTCTTCCTTCTTCTTTTCCTCCGTTCCGGCCATCTGAATACATTGAAAATTTACATATCAAGGACATCTAAAGATGCGGGAATTCAGATAAGACACAACTTGAGTTCTTTGAGAAATTAGACTTCAGAAGTTTCAAGAAGCCTTTAGAAGGGGTAATCAACCTTTTTCAATTTTTAGAAAATCTGCCACAATTTCACACAACTTTCTTTTTATGAAATTTTCTTAAATTCACAGATCCAGGAGTAGAGAAAAGTCGATAAAGGTTGAAAAAATGTACTGCTGATCCGGTAGCTCTCCTGCTCTTCCCGAGAGATATCCGGTCCAGATTTTTCAACTTCTCTGCGTCTCTCCCCCCCCCCCTTGAACACTATTTATCTTTCCGGTAAGTGTAACACTTGCTCCATTCTCAGCGTCTCTTCTCCGATCACTCTCTCTCTCTCATTCTTTGAGGAACTCAAGATAGAGCATCAATAGTGCTCTTCCTCTTCTTTCTTTATGTTTCTTTGGGTTTCTTCAAATCTTTTGGGACGAAAAGAAGAGAGAAAGAAAAAAAATAAATTGTTAATTGCTACGTTCCCACTTGGTTTTGTCTTGTTTTCCGGGCGATACAAAACGGAATTTATGGTTTTTGGTTGAATAGCTTGTCTGATTTTCTGTTTGTAACAATGCCTGAAAACTGATGCTCCGGTATTTTAAGATTTCAAAAATACCGGCATTTGTAATACCAGTGTTAATATTCTGCTCCGAATTTCTAAATTTGCAAAACTGGAAATTTTAGATTCACTTATTGCGAGTATTTTAGGTTCCGGATTCTGAAATTTCGATTTGCTGATTTCCTGAATTTCCAGACATCCTAATCTTATAGTTTCTGAAATGTTGTTTTTTTCTTTCGATTAAAAACAGAATCCGAACAGCACTAATTTATAAAAAACTGGAAAATTATTTCAACTTCATGATTTAATAAAATGGTGTAAGATCATTTTGGTCTGTTTTCAATGACTTATGCAATTATTATTCGACTTCCTATTCCTTCCCTTTGACACCCAATTTTATTCAATGTTCTAAATTTCACCCAATTATCTTTCCAAGTGTTCTTCTCTGCTCTTTTTTTCTTGTTATTTAACCAGTGTCTTGTGTTAGATAAAATGTCACCTGACACACTTCAATTTTGATTGTCACATTTCACTAGTGATGAAATTGGATTTTCTCTATAAATTTTCAAAAATGTTGCTGAAAACTGCTCTGAAAATTAGAAACTAGGTAAACGTTCAATGGACCGCTCATAACATAAACCCCCTTTTGAACTGCCGCGCTGCGAAACCTCGTCCATCGCCTCCCCCATTTCTCTTCCACCTCCACTGAATTTAATCTTCGCGCTGCTTTGATACTGCTGAAATCTCACTTCTTCTGAATATTTTTGATTTTTTTTTCGTTTTCAGGGCTTTTCTAGCATAAAATGCAATAAAAAATAAAGAAGAAATGTCGACTGGTGTGCTGCAATTTGTCAAGGGCATCGATTTCTCTGGAAATGATTTTTCGGTGAGTTTAACTTTTTTTGTATAGAACTTCATCATTTAAAACTCACAATTTTGCAGGGAGATCGATTTCCGCACGATGTAGAACAAATGACACAAATGACATGGCTGAAATTGAACGATTCCAAGCTGGAACAGGTCAGAAGTGTAGAACTGTCGAACTTCAGTAGAAGAAAATTGAAAAAAAAATAGTGGTACAATTAGTGGAAAAATCATAAGAAATTACGAATTTCGAGTTTAACATGCTGAATAGTAGAAAATGAGATAAAACGGTTAAAGTTCCAAAAAGTTCAATTTTGTCTTTTTTTTAAATTCTCCCAAAAGCTCGAAACTCATTATTTTGGCATAATTTGAAATGCTACTTTGAAATTGCTCAAAAATATGTCAGAAGCTTAACAATTTGTTTTTTCAGGTTCCCGATGAATTATCCCGTTGTGCAAATCTTGAACATCTCCAAATGGCCCATAACCAACTAACATCTGTACATGGAGAACTCTCAGATTTGCCACGTCTACGATCGGTTATTGTCAGAGATAACAATGTAATTTTGACCTATCTGAACTTAGTCAATCTGCATCCTAAATTATTTCTTAGAAAACAAATTTTTTTGAATTTCAGCTAAAAACCGCCGGATTCCGACCGATATTTTCCGAATGAAAGATCTAACAATTATTGATTTATCTCGAAACCAACTAAGAGAAGTTCCTACAAATTTGGAATATGCAAAAGGATCGATAGTCTTAAATCTGAGTTATAACAACATTGAAACAATTCCAAACAGTGTCTGTGCGAATTTGATCGATTTGCTGTTTTTGGATCTGTCGAATAACAAATTGGACATGTTACCACCACAAATTCGAAGATTGAGCATGTTACAAAGTCTCAATTTATCGAATAATCCGTTAAATCATTTTCAATTGAAACAGTTGCCAAGGTAAGTGCGAAATAACAACATTGAACTCACAAACTAATAAAAAAGATCCAAGAAATACGAAAATATGTTTGAAAGTTTTGAAATGATAAAAAATGAAAAACTTATCGTAAAATCTCGGAAATGATTGAAGTTTGAGTTAGACCGAAACCCTGAAATTTCATCACAAAACCTCCTCTTCTTGAATAATTTCAATTGATAAAAATCATTTTTCTGAAAATGTAATAATTGTTTTTTATTCCAGCATGACATCCCTAAGTGTTCTTCATATGAGCAATACGAACAGAACATTGGATAATATACCACCAACATTGGATGATATGCACAATTTGAGAGTAAGCTTCGAAAAAAAAGTAACAATATTATCTTTAATTTTTCTATTTTTTCAGGACGTCGACTTCTCGGAAAACGCGCTTCCTCAAGTACCCGAGGCCTTGTTCAAACTTCGATCTCTCCGAAAACTGAATCTTTCTGGGAATCGAATCGAGAAGTTGAATATCACAGAAGGAGAATGGGAGAATTTAGAAACTCTCAATATGAGTCATAATCAGTTGACAGCTTTACCAGATTGTCTGGTGAAATTGACACGATTATCAAGATTATATGCATCAAATAACGAATTAACATTCGAAGGAATACCATCTGGAATTGGAAAATTGATTCAATTAACTGTTTTACATCTATCATACAATCGATTGGAATTGGTTCCGGAAGGCATTTCAAGATGTGTCAAATTACAAAAACTCAAATTGGATCATAATCGACTGATTACGTTGCCAGAGGGTATTCATTTGCTACCCGATTTGAAAACGTTGGATTTACATGAGTAAGAGTTTTAAAATACATCGAAGAAAACATTTTTTTTTTCAAATTTCTGCGAATCAAAATGTGTTCAAAAGTGCAAACACTTCCATGTTTCATCTTTCTTTTTTTGGATTTTTCTCAAGTCGTCCGTCTTATTCCGTTCTCCCTCTTTCTCTCTTCTCCCATTTTTTGCAACAGAATATTCTGGAAAAAGAAGAAAGATAGAGAGCATTTTTCTGGAGAGACTCAAAAAATTTTCCATAATATTTTCCGTGTTGGAACTCAACAGATTTGCATTAATTAGTCGCCATTTTGATGCGATTCCGGCTTGAGAAAAATTTCGGAAAAATCGCTTCTTTTTGTTTCAATTTTTTCCTAATTCTTTTTTTCAGAAACGAAAATCTAGTGATGCCACCGAAACCAAACGATGCTCGGAAGAAGTTGGCGTTCTACAATATAGATTTTTCATTGGAACATCAGGTCAATTTTTTAAATTGACAGGGTTTTTAAAAGTCCTCAAAATTAAAAAAAAACTTTTTCAAAAAATTTTGATCTCCCTAACTAAAATTTTTTTTTGAATTATTTGACCTGCAAATCTTTCTCAAAAACAAATTGTCTGTTTTTCCTAGCCGTTTTTTATTAATCATTTTTCTCAAATCAAGAATTTCTAATTTTTCTTGCTTTAAAATTGGTCGATTCTTTCAAAATTATCCTTTTTTTTCTGCAAGCTTTTCTTTTCAAAAGTCGCCTATTCCTTTTTTGCAAAAAAAACACATTTTCAAAAATTTGTCGTCTAGACCGTTTTTTTCGACCCATTTTTAGTGAAAAGAAAGAAGGGGAAGATTTAGTAGGAGAAAAGCACAAAGAATTGTGCTCTTTTTTCCGCCAGAGTCTTCTATCTCTATATATGTTTCCTCTTTTTTTCTTTTCTTCTCCTTCTCTATATTTTCTTATTCTTATTTTATTCAAAAAAAATACGATTGCTTCAAATCTCCTGTTTCCTTCAAAAATGCGTTCAGACTTGATTATTTTGGTAAGTGATAAAGTAAAGAGACGACCTCGAGAAGTGCACAACAGGTGGCCTTAGTTTTAACTTGTGAAGAAAATTTTGGTTTTTTGAAAACTCCTTTTTCTTATATAAAATAAATATGTTTGTGTCAATAACTACTTTCTCAACACTTCATTTTTTTTTCAGCGCAAAATTGCGGGTCAAATGACAAGTCCATCATCGTCTATCTCATCTGTTCATTCGGGTGGAGCACGTCAAGATGCGTTGGCACGGAGAAAGGAGTTCATACGGCGACGAAAGCAACAAGCAGATCAGCAGAGTGCCGACAAAGTTATACAGGTGAGAAAATACTGCCCAAATTTTAATGAACATTTCATCAGTTCACGAATCGAGATAATTCCGCTCAAATGGCAAATATAGTAGTTTCGTCCTAGTGGATACTGTAGTCTATGAAACCTTTCTCAAAACTATATTGATTATTTTGATAATCTGCTGGTCTATAAACGGTCATAGACAACCAGAAATAGTTATTTAGAGGTCATATGAAATTCATGATTTTTCTCACCTATCTTCTTTTTGTTTTTCAAAAAATGTGTTTTGGTACCTAAATAGAACTGTCTGAAGAGAAACTTTATAGAAGTTTCTTCTCTTCGAAAATTCATACCTTCTGGCATTTCATGCTGAAATTCCTTTTCTCTTTTCTAAACTACAATCTTCTTTTTTTTTCTGCTCATTTTGACCACATGATCTACAGAAAATTCATTTTATTACCCTCATCATCATCATAGCGCCAACAAAAACAAACAAATAGCGAAGTGTATAAACAATTTGCATATTGCCTTTTTCTATATTTTATGCCTTTTTCTGGAATACGCTTCCACTGCTATTGATCATTCTGTTTTTCCAAATGGTCGAGTGGAACTTTGCAAAGTTGTTGGTTTAAAAAATGAAAGTTCCGAGTCTGGTATCTCAATTCTTTCTGACGATTTCGAAGGAACAGAAAAACGTATTTCACCAACTGATACACTATCAATACTTCTCCCATTTATCACACACTTCTGTTTCTATAGCATCTTTTTCATCAGTTTTGTCCCCATAAATTGTCGTATATGGCATAAATCCAGTCCATTAGACGCCGACAGTATCCCATACCCAGTCGAGAATTCGAACGATGAGTATGATTCGATTGCTTTGGTTTGATGTTTTCAAAAAAATTATACTTCCAATACATTTTTATTTCCAGGGAATGTCAAAAATCGCTGGCGTCGGAGCGGCACTAACCGAGAAGCAACAAGAAGAGGAGGAACGTCAAATCGAAGCGAAAAGTGCTGTGAACTGGAAAAAGAACATTGAGAAACATCGACGACACATTGACTACTCGGATATCTTTGATGAAGACGTTGGCTCAGAAGAGGGCATGTGGGTATGGGAAATTGAGAATTTCTATCCATCAATTATGGATGAAGCATTCCATGGACAGTTTTATGACGCAGACGCCTATCTGGTTTTAAAGACAACTCGAGAGATTTCCGGTCAATTGAGACATGCAATTTTCTATTGGCTCGGTGAACACGCCTCACTTGATAAAGGAATGTGTTCTGCGGTACATGCAGTTGGTCTCCGGAACCATTTGAATGCCACGTGTCGAACACAAAGAGAAGAAATGAACGACGAATCAGAAGAATTTCTGACACTTTTCGGTGAAGAGATTGTGTACATCGAGGGTGGACGAACGACTTCTGGATTCTATACCACTGAAAAACCTGCACATCTAACTCGTCTCTACCGTGCAGGAGTTAATGGAACTGCGGTGGAGATGGAACCAGTGCCACTTAGCGTTGAATCGTTGGATCCTAGATATTGCTTCTTATTGGATGCTGGAGAAACAATTTGGATATGGAGTGGATTCAAAAGTAGAGTGAGTCAAATGATCTGCAAAAAAGTCGTTAAAATCTAAATGTTTCATCAGGTTTTCATGATGTTTAAAAATCCTAAAACGTTTGAAATCCATTTAGGAGCATTTTTAACGTAAAAATCAGGTTAAGGACCTCAATTTTAGTGAACATTGAACAAATAAAAAACTTTGACCACTGAGCGGATCGAACGCCCAACCTTTCGATCTGGAGTCGAACGCGCTACCATTGCGCCAAGCAGTCATGAAAACTAACAGCGTGAGGGTGGTTTATCTTGTGAGTTGATGTGCCGAGATGAGAGAAAGAGAGAGAGAGAGCGGTGAAGAGAGACGCAGTGTTGTGGAAGTGGTATGCCTGACGTCTCTTGGTTTTGCTTTCTTTCTCACTTAACTAGAAAAGGGCATTGAAAAAAAGAGAAGTGCAGTGAATTTGAGGAAATTTTTTTAACATCAAGATCCGGAGATCTGGAAATCTATAAGGATCCTAAAAATTTCAACGGTCCTGGAATACCTAGCAAATGCCGAAACTTTGCAGATCACTGTCTCCAATAAGGCTCGTCTCTTCGCCGAACGACTAAACAAACGGGACAGAAAAGGAAAATCCGAAATCGAGACATGCCGTCAAGCTCGTTGTCCTCCAGAATTTTGGCAAGCACTAACTGGACAACCGGACAAACCGACATCGGCAATTGTGGAGCACGTGCCAGAAGGATTTGTGGCGGAGAGAAAGAAGCTGTACAAAGTGAACATTGGAATGGGATTTTTGGAATTGCCGCAAGTGGAACTTCCAAAAGGAATCGCGAAACAAGATATGCTCAATTCGAAAGGAGTTTTCATTCTAGATTCAAATTCTGATATCTTCCTTTGGACTGGAAAGAAAGCCAATAGATTATTGAAAATGGCTGGACAGAAATTGGTTGTTGAGTTGCATCAAATGATTGATCGTCCGGATTATGCACAAGTCTATAGGGAGACGGAAGGAGAAGAATCTATGATGTTCCGATCCAAATTTGCAGGCTGGGATGAAATAGTTCCAGTTGACTACACTCGCTCCTCAGAATCCGTTCAAAGAGTGCCAGATCTGAAGGTAATCGTAAAGAAGGATAATATGATGAGAGCCGATCTTGGAGCATTGTTCCTCGAAAGACAACCATCAATGACATACGAAGAATCAGAAGAGTTGATGTTAGACTGCAATTATGATCTAGAATTAATGGAATCATTCGTTTTGGAGGGAAAGAAATTTGTCAAGTTGCCACAGAAAGAATTTGGAATATTCTATACAATGGATTGTTATGTGTTCTTGTGTAGATATGCAGTACTACCAGAGGAAGAAGAAGATGAAGAAATAGAAGAGACCGATGAGAAACCAGAGATGGACTTCAAGTGCGTCGTGTATTTCTGGCAAGGACGAGATGCTTCAAATATGGGTTGGTTGAATTTTACGTTCCAATTGCAACCCAATTTTGAGGAGATTTTCAAGGATAAGTTGGAGGTAAGTAGGAATTTAGGAATGACGCTGAGAAGTATCAAACTTAGTTTCACATCTGAAATTGTTTGGAATAGATTCTGAAGTTTTGGAAATTCATCTTCTCAACTTGCTCAATGTTCAGGTTGTTCGTATGTACCAACAACAAGAGAATCACAAATTCCTGTCTCACTTCAAGAGGAAGTTCCTTATCAAGCGTGGTCGTCGTGGTTTGACAAAGAATTTGGGTGGAAAGTGGCCAGAGCTATTCCAAATGAGAGCCAATGGATCAAGTGTCTGCAACAGGACAATTCAAGTCGAGTGCCAGTAAGTTTAATCGGAATTCGAACGTTCTGGAGAATCTTTGATTATTTCTATGTGTCCTTTAAAATCATCAATTCCTTTTCTTTTTCAGATCTAATCAACTGTGCTCTGCATTCTGTCATATGCTCAGAATTCCATTCAAAGAATTGGATGAATCGAATCATCGTGGAGTTGTTTATGTTTGGCAAGGAAAAGACTCGGAACCCCGTGAACATGAATTCGCTCGTCAAGTGGCATCTGATTTGGTAGTTCGAGACGATGATGATGATTTTAGAATTGTTGAAGTGAAAGAAGGAGAAGAGAATGAAGAATTCTGGAGAGTCCTTGGTGGAAAGAAGAAATATGAAACGGACAGTTCATTTGTCAAACACACGAGACTGTTCAGATGTACTAATGAAAAGGGTTATTTCGCTGTTTCCGAGAAAACCGTTGATTTTTGTCAGGTAAGCGAACGGAAAATTTTTAGAATAAAAAAAAATCTAAACTCGTTTTTCTAATGCAGGGCAATTGTTTTTTCAGGATGATCTCGACGACGATGACATTATGATTCTGGACAATGGCGATGCAGTGTTCTTGTGGATCGGAGCCCGAGCATCGGACATCGAAGCTAAATTGTCTTATCAAGCTGCTCAGGTTTATCATGCTTCGTTAAGAATGAAAGCGAATGAAAAGCCACGAAAATTCATGTTGGCAGTAAGAGGACATGAAAGTTGTCGATTCAGAAAGTGTTTCCATGCTTGGTCCAAAATGAAGGTGAGCAATTATCATTAATCAAAAAATTTAACATAATCATACAAAACTCTCTAAGTCTGAAATTTTAAAGTTCTCACGTCTCGATATTCTCTAATTCTTTTCGATCTGAAAAATTTTTAATTCCAAAGCTTGTAAAAATTTTAAATTTTTTTAATCTGATTGGTTCGGACTCTTTCATAACTCGGACGTTCTGACTCATTCAAAACGAAAAAAAACAGAATTTTCCAATTTTTTATTCCAGGAACCAATGGGATAAACTTTTCAAATCTTCCTCAGAATCCAAGTCTTCTGCTTATAAATCTCTTCCTCTTATAGTGGTTTTTTTGTTTTTCTAAGTATATTTTCTCACAATTTTTTTGAATTTTATTGCACTTCTTTGTTGTTAAAATATCAAATCTCCATTTTTTCTGTTCTCCCCCAAAAAAGTACTAATTTATTTGTCTCCCACCCCAAAAAAAAATTGCTCATCTTTTTCCCTAAGCCACACCCCTTTTCAAATATACGCAAAACCCCGTTTCTAACCATGAAAAACAACAATTTCACCATTCTCTTAAATTATTGGTAGTGAATTCCCATCTCTCTTTCCCCAATTATCTCTCTTATTATAATATTTGTTGATTTTTTGTGAAATATAATTTCTAGGTCCCCTTTCTGAACGAGTAAATCAAAAAAAGCATATGATATATATTCTGAAAAAAAAACAGAATATGTAGGGTTCCCTCATAATTTCTCTCATAATTGTAACTTGTTCGTTTTTCTCAAAAATACCACTTTTTCATTTGTTAAATATATATTTTTTAATTCAACTTAAAATTATTTCATTTTAGAACACACTGGTTCTGTAATGGGGCGTTTTTTTTTTGAATAATTCTCATAATGCATATTACTGTAGCTAACCATTTGCTTTCATTTCCTTTTTCTTCTCTCCCATATAAACATTTTTCTGGTTTCAAAGACCTGTTTTCTTGGATAAATAATCTGAAAACTTCCGAAACAGTGTTTTTTTAATCACCTAAAATGAGACCAAAACAATTTTTTTCGTAAGAATTATTGTTCTGATAGGAAAGGGGCGGAGTTTCCCTTGTGAGCAGAGAAAAATAGTCTGTAAAACGTTTTGGTGTTTGCTTTTGAGAAAAAAAAACCACTCGTTTTCGATATGATATTTTTTATATACAAAAACGATTAATCAAGTGTCTACGAAAATATTTACATCTTAAAAAATACTTTATGGAGTTCCATCGGTTTACTTGAAAAGTGGAATTTGGAGATCAGTTGAAAAGTTGACACATACAGCAGTGACTAATGAGAATCCTGAAAAACACATTGATGATATGATCCACTAGGGCAATTAGTAAACTAATTATTATTGGTGGCTGAAAAAATGGTGGAGAAGCAGGGAAAAAGTGTCTGCGTCTCCATTGTACTGTTCTGTATTTTGCTGAGAGAGATCTTCTGGTACACTTTGGCACACACTTCGGCATGAACTTCACCTTCTTTTTCAGGTAAAAGCAATACTCACCATCATTTGTCTTCCTTTGGTTTCAATCGGTAGAATTAAAGAAGCTATGAGCCCAAACACAGCAGCAACTCCATAAATACCGATAGGAAGTGAAAGGGACTGTTCCGAGGCAACCTTGAAAAATTTCAGGTTGGTTCGTTAATTCAATGAATCATACTTGTTAAGAACAAAACATCAAAATCCGAAATCCCGATAACTAGCTTCACTTACCTGTGCCACAAACGGTGTCAAAATTGCTCCCATCCTAGCCATCGCTGAACAAGTACCCAGACCTACTGCTCGTAGAGTGGTTGGGTATACTTCTGGAGTATAGACATAAGCACACTGGAAGGCACCAGAGATGAATGCGCGGGCCACAAAGATCAGAACCGTAACTGTGAATCTGAAATTATCGTATCACTATATTTGATCTTTGTTACAGAGTCTTACCGATCCAAACAAAAGTATAGCATGAAAGTAAAGACCGCAAAAATAGCATACTCGAGTGCCATGGTTTTCTTTCTTCCAAACCACTCAATTATCAGTACTGTGATAATGAGTCCGGGGAATTCGGCAAGTGTAGTTGATAACAAATCAAAGTAGTCTGATCTTGTTAACGGTTGGCAAACTTCTAGAGCAGTTCCATTTGAGAATAGGCCTCCGTGGCATTCATCGTGCGATTGGAAGAGAACAGTTGTGAAAAGGACCATTCCGTAGTAGGAAAATGCGGTAATCGCCCTGGAATGTTTAAACTACCGTAATACATCTACGAATCTTTAGTGATTAACTTTTTTATCTTACCAAATACACCACAAGAGTAATGTGGTCTTTCTAAGATCTGGAGACAACAAATTTACAATATCTCCTCTACTATCTGATCCTGCTTTTGTAGAGGATACCAATCTTCCAGGGGGTAATTGTACTCTGTTCATTCTAGCCGCTGCTTGAAGAGTCTCCAGTGCCCGCTCAGGATGTCCAGATGCCATATCAAAACGAGCAGATTCGGGCAACCACTGAAATGAGAGGAGTACTTGTATTATTCTTAAGTTCACTTACAAAGCTTGCGACTGCAAAAATTCCAAGTGGCAATGAAGACAAGAACATTAGAGCTCTCCATCCGAAAGATTCCATCACAAAATACGCTAAAAGTGCTTCAAAAACTGCACCGATTGCCCAGAAAGACTCAATCAGAACCACACATTTGGCACGTTGAGCAGTAGGAAGGAATTCGGCATATAGTGTTACTCTGGAACCGTTTCCAATTAAAAGGGAACTAGAAAAACTTGACATTTTTGATATTTTGACCTCATAACAAGAAACTCACGACTGTGGAACTCCTCCGATTCCAAATCCAGTGAGACCTCGGAAAAATAATAAGACATAAAAATGGGGGGACATTCCTGATAATACACCCATGACACATGCAACAAGAGTAGAAAATGTGAGACCCTGCAAAGAAAAGTTAAGTTTTAGAACGTATGCGCATTTGTTTTTAACCCACTTTCCGTCTCCCAAATCGATCACAAATCTTTCCCCAAAATGTACTAGACAGCATCATTCCACTGAAGACACAAGTTGTGACGAGAGCCTGCAATGTTTATGTAATTAAAAAAGAAACTGGGTAATTACCTGCTGAACAGAAGAAATTTGCCACTGACATGCGAGGGCTGGAGAAATCAAAGAAAGAAGCATCATTTCCATTGCATCGGCCATCTGAAAGTTGCTTTTGATTTGCATGAAATGGAGATTTTCCATGAAGCAGTTTCTCCTTTGTTTTGGCATTCAAAACTATTTTATTTTTATCGATCGAAGTCTTTTTAAAACATAATTTCAAAAAAATCAGATTTTACTCAAATCTACCGTAATCATTGTAGAAAGCACCTCCCCCAAACCGCCAACTTGGAGTCCGTATATCTCGTTTCTTGTAAAAGATATAAAAAAGTGGTCAACTGACAAAATTCTTTTCACAATATCAGAAACAGTCTGTCAGTTAACAGCTTTTTGCTATTCTTTACAGTACCGAGTTAAATGAGAGTAAAAGTTGAAAGTTGATTTTCAAATTAATCACCCATGCCATTCCAGTCAAAATCGACAACTTCAACTGAAACCTTCCGAATCCCAATGCCTCTACAGCTTCATCAACTGTGAATGTCTTCTCTTGATCAGGTGATATTTGATCTGAAGGTTCTCCCAGTTCATTCCGATCATCCAAGTTTGAATATCGCACAGAGAAATCATCTCCAACATGACGAATCCTAAAGGTACGATTTTTAAAAGTTTCGTGAAATGTGAGCAAATATTTGACAAAAATTACTCTTTGATCAACTGTTTCGCTGTTAAATCAACATATGCTTCAGTAAGATTTGATGCTTCCAGAACCTCTGTTAGGATAGCTTTGTCTCCCATTTCGCTGGAAACCGTTGTCATTTTTGAAAATGGATTAAAGAAAAAGAGAGAAATAAGGCAATAACTAATAATGGAAAACCGCAAAAAGTACAATTTATGGATCTCAAAGTTTGGAAGTTTGGAAAGTCTGAAAATTAGGAAACTTTTTTAAAATTCAGTCTATCTCGCGACTTGCAAATTCTAATTTAAACATTTTAATTATGTTAAAAGGGTCAAAATTGCTAGTCTTCTGTCAAACAAATTTCAAAAAAAAGACACCAAATAAAACAAAAGAAAAAAATGAAATCGGATTTGAAAAACCAAATGGGTGGAAGAATAGAGAATTCCTAGTTCTTTTTTTAACAGAATTTTTAAAAAAGAAATTGAAAGTCTAGTGTAAGCCATTTTTGGAAATCGATGATTTTTTTCAAAAACCATTAAAAATTTTTCTCTTGTCGTAAGGGAATGGGAAGATTGCTTTTAAAAAAATGAAATCTAAATTTCAGATTGATAGCCTTGCTTGAAGTCAGAAATCTGAAAATATGAACAACATAAATAAATTTATAAATGGAATTGTCTGACAGTTCAGAAACTCGAAAAACTCAATAAAAAAATTGAAAGTATAGCTATAGTGATGATCCTAATTACTGAAAAATCATTAAAATCCTGTTAACGAAGCTTAAATTTATAAATTTTTGGTTTGGATTGACTGATTCTTCTGTTTGTAAACTATCAAAAACTCATAAAGCTTTAAATTTTGATGATCCAGGTTACAGAAAATCTCAAAACTCAAGATTTTCTGAAACTGGAAATTCTAGATTATAATACATAAAACAGTCTGAAAATCAGTTTTGCAATCATAAAACATTCTAAATTCTGCAGAACAGAAAAATCCAATAATGTCAAAATGACGTATATATGACACCACCAAACGACTCCAAAACAAGAAGAGATTCAGTTGAATCGGAAAAGGGGTTAGTATTTCTCGGCGTCTCTCCAGGCTCTCCCACTCGCTCCTCCTTTTCTTCTCTCTGCGTCTCTTCATATTCTATTGTCTTTATCTGGCTCTCTGAAGCTTTGAGCAGTTTCTCGCGCAATTTTAAGGAGCCAAAGGGGAAAAATAAGGGAGGAAGAGACAAGAGAAAATAGAAATGTAGGTGGGAAGAAGGAGAAGAGATGAGAGATTTCGGAAATGAAAAAACGCAGAGAAATGAGCAAACAAAAACACTAGCGAGATGACATTTTTGGAAAAGGAGGATCTAGTTACAAAAAAGTTATCTGGAATGGAATGTTTCAGGAGTTTCTGAAAATTTAACAAATGGATTACTATACATGCACTAAAAAATTATGAACAGCTCTGCATTCTGACTTTGACAATTTTGAAATCCTGAAATTCTCTGCATTCTGACTTTGACAGTTTTGGAATCCTGAAAATCGTAAAACAGGATTCCTGGAACTTTTGTGAACTTTGAGACCTTTCTACAGTTTCTTAAGTTTCAGTTCACACCCTGGAATTTTTATTTGCGTCCAGCCAGTAGTATGGGGTTTAGGAGATCCGGAAATTCTGATGTCTCGGGATGTTGAGAATTCAAAAAACTCTGAAATTCCTGAAATTCAACGAAAAGTGGGAATCTTTTAAACTTTAAAAAATTCAGAGATTTTGATATTCTTGTGCTCCAAATATTTTGTTTTTTTGTAGTTTCAAAATAGAGAATAAAGAATTTTTAGGGATCCAGAAACTCGAAAACTTATAAAATTGGAAATTCAGAAACTAACACATTTCCAAATTTTCAGGACTACAAAAGTTATGGAACTTACACAAAATCTCAACTCATGTTATCATCCTTTAAATATCCCGTCTAACTATTTTATTCCTAGCCCTTCTGCCTATTTTCAAATAATAATTGTTCCGTTAATTACCCATATTTAATTACCCACCCAATGCATCAAGACCTGCGACACTCCACCGATTCCGAGGAAGGGGTTGTCTCCGAGGAACCGATTCCGAGGAAAACGGGGG